AGGGAAGAGGTAACTATCAGGAGGAAGTGGGAGGGGAGCTGTTGCATTGTGGTAAATTGTGGTCAATGTCATAAGACAAAGTGTATGTGAACTGCTGTATGGAAAGTGAATTTGCTCTGTAAATTTTCACCAAATCATGATTTAAAAAAATAAATAAATAAAGGAGCTCTGGTGGTGTAGTGGTTAAAGCAGTCAGCTGATAACCAAAAGGTTAGCAGCCACTCCGTGGCAGAAAGACAGGCAGTCTGGTTCTATATAGATTTACAGCCCTGGAAACGTGGGGCAGTTCTACTCTGTTCTATAGGGTCACTATGAATCGGAATCAACTCAATGGCAGTGGATTTGGTTTGGGCTTAGTACAAGAAAAAGCTCAAAGTCTTTTCAATGATTTAAAAGCTGAACATGTACCAAGTGAAGGTGATTGTGATGAAGAATTTGTCGCAAGTAGGAGTTGACCCAACCATTTAAATGAGAGGACAATTTTATATAACATTAAAGGGCAAGTATGACTTTACGTGAGTTGGTCCTAAGTCAGACATTCGTAAGACAGAAACTGCTGGTACAACAGGAGCACAGCTAGTAAAGGGAAAAACAGTACAAAGAATGAGGTCAGAGAGGTAGCCATTTTAAGGAATCTGGATTGCACAAAGAATGAGGAAGGCACTATGGTACTACAAGATACACAGTGCTTCATCTGCATTACAGTAAAGATAAGGCAAATGTAAAATAATTTTCATTTAAGGCAGAGTAATCAGAAGTATAACACATACAAAATATGATGTGGGTCATTGGAAAAATTAAGATTGTATCAAAGGAAAGATTTCAGATGAGGTAAAACTTCAAGTGAAAAATAGAAGAGAAAAGTATAGCATGAAGAAGTAAACACAGATGGAGCGTACAGGGCTTATTCAGCAGAAAGCCAGGCATCCAACATGCTAACAGGTTTGGCATGCTTAGTAGAAGGAAATCAGGCTGCTACAGTTGGTTCTATTATAGAAAACCATGAATTACCTAACTTGGTAGACAATGGAGAACTACTAAAGGCTCAAGTTGGATGAGGACAAGAAATAAAATGATCCGAGATCTACTTGGTAAGTTATTTCTGATGATGGTGGTCCAGTGTGAAACGAGAATTTTGCAGAAGAAACTAGGAACCAAACTAGATGGTAGCAGCAGTGAGAAACAAATACAAAAGAAGTAGGGACGCAGACATTGAAGATAGGTGAACTGACAGAATTTAACAAATGGTTAGATGATGAGTAGGTCATATTGAGTCTGAGGAGATGAGACCATCTGGATCATTTATAATCTGCTCCCAAACAAGCAAATAATCCACATATATTAACTAAAAGAATGTAAACGGAAGAGGGCCTGGGTCTTGATAAAAGCTAAATTACTAAACACCAGGAAAAAAAAAGCCCTCTTCAACACTAAAATGGCACTGATGATAATATGATCCAGTGCCTAAAAGTGTTTCCATGCACCCAAGGAAACACCAAGATCTACTGCCTAGAATAGAGTTCTGCCAGAAATGTTGTTAGAGGTAGAGTCAGTTCCAGCTCATGCACAACAGAATGAATCACTTCCTGGTCCTATGCCTTCCTCACAACTGTTGCTATGTTTGAGCCCACTGTTGTAGCCACTGTGTCAATCTATGTTGTTGAAGGTCTTCCTCTTTTTCACTGACCCTCTCTTTTACCAAGCATGGTACTCTTCTCCAGGGACTGGTTTCTCCTGATAACATGTCCATAGTACACAAGACAAAGTCTCACCATCCTGGCTTCTAAGGAACATTCTGGCTATACGTCTTCTAAGACAGATTTATTCATTCTTCTGGTAGTCCATGGTATATTCAATATTCTTTGCCAACACTGTAATTGAAAGGCATCAATTCTTCTTCAATCTTCCTTATTCATTGTCCAGCTTTTACATGCATATGAGGTGATTGAAAATAATGAATCAAAAGACTTCTCTACAAATGAATTTTCTCTGAGTTAGTTTATGATGTAAAACTAGACTTCAAAGAACCATGAAGGCAAGAAACGATGTTTCACAAAAGAATGATTTTAAAGTGGGGCCCATGTGTCCTAGGTTTCTGAAATGCTTCGCTATTAACTCAATAAGCTACTGTGGCCTTTTATACCCACAGAGTACAAGGGTGAAAAGAAACAATTAGCAGCTCCAACTCCTGCCCTTATACTATCTGATATTTCATGTATTTGTTCATTGCCTGCCTTCCCATTAAAATATAATCATTAGTGACTTGTGATTTTACATCTGTATCCCCAGCACTTGTAACAGCACCTAATAGATAGCAGGCACACAATGAGTATAGATCAATGTATCTATGGGAAAGATAGCAACTATATTCTTCCCACAAATAGATTCAAGCAACAACAATATATCCTTGCTTGAACTTCCCACTTTCTGTGGAGTAATTTTTAATTTTGGAGTGTGTCTCCTTATGAACTTCAACAATACAAGCTATCTTTGGAAAGGTAGGAAGAGAGACAAGCACTCTTCAATACAGCTCAGGGTCTAGTCTGAACTTGCTGAGGACATGTACAGGAACACCATTCACTTCTGCACACATAAGACACAGACAGATGCTTACTTCTCAATAAAGGCATATACACAGTATAAAACATGCCAAGAAAGGATACCACAGGACTTAATTAGTGCTCACAAGGAGCTTTGTGACACAGGATGAAAGGTACCACAGACATAGAAAACATTACAAAGGTGTGGCAATACAATACCTCAAAGACAAGAATCAGTTTGTGACCCTGATGTAATGAGGATTCCAGGGACCACTGACAATCTCCACTTACAAAGCAAAGCATGGAACAGACCCAAAGTATCAAATGCCCTGTAACAAAGAGAAACTGACACGATAAGTCCTGAGCTGTCCTCCCAGCTGTCCCTTCCACATTAGTACCACAGTGCAGGCAGGTGTTTCTTTCACTGAAACAGACTTTCTTCCATATTTTCTACCTTCTGTCATTAAGGTAGCTCACCTCCTGCCCTGTAGCTGCTTCCATATCAAGAAACAGATCAAGAAGAGATCGGACCAGACGGGCTGCTTTAGCCTTGCTGATGGAATTCAAGAAAGGTCGCACATACTTCAGGAGGCCTCCAAGCTCTGTGTGGAAAGGAATTCAGAAAGGGAAAAGTATGTATCAATATTAGGGAAAGAACGCACATTAAAAAAAGAAACAACCCAAGATCATAAAATTAGTATTCATGTCACTGGAATAAGCTTAAGTGCAACTTATTAGAGGAGTTTAAAGCATTCCCAGCAAGTAACAGTAGCAGAAGTAAGTTAATATTAATGCACTAAATTTGTATTTTATTCTTCACTCAGCCACTGGATTATGATGAGGGCCTTGGGAAAAGTTCATGACTCTCTGACTCATTTACCTATCTTAATGAAAGACAAATAGCAAAGTACGCATACTCTCAGAGAACACTTTCCTAGAACATAAGGTTATGTGTCGCTACCCACCTTGGACAAAATCACTTCCTCACAAGCAACAAATATGATCAGGCTCTGTAGGAATAATTTTCCAAGTCTGCCTTAACAGTTTCCCTTAAACAGAAAGATGATCAGTTCCAAGTTCTTTCCTCCTACCTTCCCACAATTTAGCCTTTTAGCAATATCACTTTCCTGAATAAACTTTTCACTTAGCAGTCACAGTGTTTGCCCTTAAAGTTGTATATCCTCATTGATCTACAAAATCTAAATCTATAACTATGACCAAAAAAAGATGCCCATAACAAGCTTTTGTTCCCCTAAAAAAGAAAAGAGGATGGTACAGGAACTGTAGGAGATCATCTTTAGAAACAAAGCCAAACTAGAGATGTGCTTGTCAAAGAGTAAAAACTAGAGAATATTTCAACGAAATAACCAAGGAAGTAGTTTCAGAATGTAGGTTAAAATTACCTTAGTGCTATTGCCTCTTTAAAATTAATATTCTTCACCCTCCTCTGAGAAGCCTAATTTAGGGCAAGCAAACCTCACCCTCCTGAGATTTTAGGGTCCTAAAATCCTCATCTGCCTGAATAGTCAGAAGATGCACGGGACTGTGTCAGGTTGTAAAAACTTCTGCACAAAGTGAAAACGTCTGTCTTTCCCTTTATTCCCCTTTCACTCCCACTGTCTTAAGACTTTTTCCCATGTGCTACCCCATTCACCCCTACACAGACATACGCACAGTCATGCCTCCCTCATGCTGCAATCCCATCTTCTTAACCTGTATAACCCTAGGTATCATTATAGGTCCAGCTAGTGCCTAACGCACCTGACTGTTAACCAGAAGGCTGGCGGTTCAAACCCACCAGCCACTCCTCGGGAGGAAGGTTGGGCAATCTACCTCTGTAGTGATACTGCCTCGGAAGCCCAAGGAGGGGTCGCTATGAGTTGGGTCTGATTCGATGGCACATAACAACAACAACAAAGTCCTATTTGATCTTCCATGCCAACTCCAGTCTACAGTGATTTCTCCCCCTCAAATTCATTCTCAATTTATGCAATTTTCAATTATATTATATAAGCATAGCTTCTTAAAAGTAGTCTAGTACAATGTCCCTTCTTTCACGTTTCCTACATTGCTTGAACAATTTCTAGTAAAGGCAATGTTTAGAAACAGCCTATTCCATTGTTGTTCAAACCACTTTGTTCTTTTTTGAAAGACAACTCTATAAACTCCTTTCAAAGGGCTTCAAATATTTAAAGATAACGATCATTTACATCTCCCTAACTTTCTCTTTCTTCAAGTTAAATATTTTCACCATTTCAACTGTTTCTCCAAAGTCCAAAGGTTTCTAGATTTCTTATCACCTGAGTTGCCCTCCTCTGAACAAACGTTAGCTTGCAAACGTACCTCTAAATATGGTACTTAGACTGAAACAATGCTCCAGGTACTGTGTGGTCAGTAGAGTATGAGGCTACATGTAACACAAAACAGCATTTTAACTTTTTCTAATAGCACTTTCTTAAGACTAAGTCCATTAAAGTCTTTTCTTTTTTTTTTTTTTTACATCGACTACTGTCAAAACTGGCACTTCCTCCTTCCTCTGTTTTGATAAATACTTTCAAGTATATAACTTTAAACTTTATACTTATCACAACTGTATTTAATCTTGCCGGCTTTAGCAATAACTCTGAATCTTCATTCTGTCTTCTACTGTACTGAGTCATCTACAAAAATAAGCACGCCTTCTGAAATGTCTTTAGCCATGGTATCAATTAAAATGCTGACCAGAAAAACAAGGACACATCCTAAAGACGGGAGCTCTGGTGACATAGTGCCTAAGGCACTTGACTGCTAACGAGAAGGTTGGCGGTTCAAACCCACCAGCCACTCCTCAGAAGGAAGATTGGGCAATATACTTCCGTAGTGATACTGCCTCAGAAACCCAAGGAGGGGTCGCTGTGAGTCAGAGACAACTCAACGGCACATAACAACAACATCCTAAAGACAGGATGCTAGAGACTTCTCTACAGGATGACAAATGATCTACTTATTAATACAGTTTGCATAGTTGGTGAGACCACTGTAAATCTATAACCTGTACCTGTCATACTAATATTATGACAAATGCTCAATCTGCTTTTATCAGATATGTAGTCTCCATCATTCCACCAATCCAGGGGTTGGCAAACTTTTTCTGTGAAGAGCCAGTAAATACTTTTAGCTTTGCAGCTACATCCAGTCTCTGCTGCAGTTATTCAACTCAGCCATTGTACTGCAAAAGCAGTCACAGACAATATGTAAATGAATGTGGCTCTACAATATTGCTGTGTTCCAATAAAACTTTATTTACATAAACAGTTGGAAGGCCACAGTCTGCAGACCCCCTACAAATCTACCAATCTGACATGGCTAACCAAAAAGAGAGACCTGAGTTTGGAATAATTTGCTCTTAATAAACCTAGAGCTTTAAGTGATGAAAATCTCCTTACCAAATAATTTGTCCCAGAATTTTACTGTGGATTACCAGTTTGTAGTGTCTGAAATCTATGCTTTTCATTACCATTTTTGAAAGTAGAATGTTTGTCCATTCTCAGTTTCCTTATATCTCTCAATTCTCCATGATTTTTCCAGAATAATAATATTAGCTCTAATTACACCTGCTAATTAATATCCTATTCATATTAAAAGACAGAAGTTGTCCAAGTCTAAAGACTTGAACTTATTTAAAGGAACTATCTGCTCTCTCTTCTCTCACCTACCTTGGCTTTAATTCTCTTTCTGATGTTATTTCTATCTTTTTTCAGTTTGAAAATCATTTTCCTTCCTGGAAAAGGCAGAAGTGAAACATGAGCTAAGCAGTTCTGCCTTTTTCTCTAGCATCTACTAGCATCACAATATTTTCTCTAAGCCATGAGTCTTACTCTTCTTATCTCAACCTTTTAGTTGCCATTTTTCTAAAAATTCATTTGATTTTCCATTTTAGTTTACTACTGTCTTGTTTGATGTTCATTCTTGGTTATATTCTGTTTCTTTCCATTTTCATACATAACGAGTTAATTTTTTTTCATTCCCTTAAAAATCATATTGACTTCTTCTATTTGTTCTTAACTGTGATTACTTGTAATTATGACAAGAAATTCCTTTTACAAACCTTACAGAACTCAATATAGTCCTTTTAAGAGACTCTTAAGAATTGATAGATTTGTATTGTTTGTTTCCTTTGATTCTGATCTCCCTGAGGAACAGAAAATATCTATTCTATCAATCTTCAATTTTGTTTTATTATACATTTAATACATGCCTGTGTGAGCTATCGGGTCAATTCTGACTTGTTATAATACTTTCAATATTCTACTGTGAAATCTGTCAATCCTGAGCCTACAAATCATGTCTGATGCTGCTGCAGAGCACTACTTTCAGTCACTGTAACACATCAGACATTGCCTTATGCAGTATTTCACAAGTGACTGTTGTCAGTCAGGGACCTATCTTTAACTGTTTGGGCAGACTACTTAGCACAGTGGTTAAGTATTCAGTTGCTAACCAAAAGGTCAGAGGTTTGAAGAAGCCACTCCACGGGAAAGGTGTGGCAGTCTGCTTCCATAAAAATTATAGCCTTGGAAACCCATGGGGCAGTTCTACTCCGACCTATCAAAAAAAAAAAAAACAAACTCACTGCCATTGAGTCGACTGCGACTCATAGCGACCCCCCCTTGGGTTTCTGAGGCAGTATCTCTACGGATGTAGATTGCCCAGTCTTCCTTCCAAGGAATGGCTGACGGGTTTGAACCACCAGCCTTCTGGTTAGCAGTCAAGTGCCTTAGGCACTATGCCACCAGAACTCCTACTCTATTCTACAGAGTCACTATAAGCTGGCATTGACTCAATGGCATATAACAAGTATGTATTAAATGTATAATAAAACAAAATTGAAGATTAATAGAACAAACATATATTCTGTTCTCAAGGAGCTCAAAATCAATGGAAATAAACAACACAAAACTATCAATTCATAATAGCAAAGACAAGTAAGTGAGCATAAACTCTAAGAACTCCTTAAGGCTTCTATTGCATGTATTTCTCAAACTCTTTCTTAGAAAACAATGATATGTAACCTGGAAAAGACTTTTGAAAATCCTTGTAATTCAGCTTACCCTTCCCAATTCTAATAAGTTTAGCCGTATACTTCTAAACTTCTCAGGTCTTGGGTCACAAGGGAGTAGCAAGGAATAAGGAGGGAAAAAGCATGAAATAGGAATTTCAAGCAAAACAGCAACATTTTTGGATGAAAATTTCTTAAGCATTGACTATACTACACACTGTTTTTAATTATCCATGCCACTGGAGGAAAGCAGAGATTTGGGTATTGCAACAACAGAAAAACCTTAAATCACTCATCTAGTTTTATAATTCTTTCAGAAAACTTACCTTATTAACTGTATTTTGTATGGACTAATAATCAAAACCATTTTGCAATCCCCCAAGCTCATACCAACCAACAGTCAAAAGGAATCCATAAGCATGTTAAAACAGGCAGTCAGTCAGTCTAAGATGAAAAAACCACCACTGATAATCTGTAAGTGGACTGTAGGAAAGTAACAACCATTATACCATGAGGCTCTGAAGTAGAACTATGTAGGGTTCAAATCGAGAGTCTAACATTTACTAGCTGAGTGATCTTGTATAAGTTATTTAACTTTTCTGCACTCAGTTTCCTCACGTGTAAAATGTATAATAATATCCACTTCATCAACTTATTTTAGGATTTCATAAGCTAAGCCATGTTTATGCTTAAAACTGTAACTGGTTCATAGTAAGCTCACAAATATTAAACCCAACAAATCAAACCCACTACTATGGCAACGATTCCAACTCACAGTGACCCTACAAGACTGAGTAGAACTGCACCATAGAATTTCCAAGGCTGTAAATCTTTACAGAAACAGACTACCTTATCTTTCTCCTGAGGAGCAGCTGGTAGGTTCATACCACCAATCTCTTGGTTAGCAGCCAAATGCTTTAACCACTGTGCCCCCAGAGCCCCTTACACAAATGTTAGGCATGATTTTTCTTATTATAGATATTTTTAAATCATATTTTAAATAAGATCCATGCAAATATACCTACCCAATTTCATACATCTTTTCTCAACATTCTGTTGACTGAGCTTAAAAACTATCAAGTTAGTTATGCTTAATTGGGAAAGATCTTAGTTCTCAATTTCAAGACAGTTTTGTTAACTTACACCCATCATTCTCTTGGATAACAACTTAATTTTTGGGGGGAAGCAATTCATAAAGTCACTTACCAAAGCTTAATCCATTCTAATCAGATAAGCCCTAAATTCTCTTTACAGTCTAAACAATCACCTTGAAGTTTAAGCCAACTTCTCTCCAAAAACTATTACCACTTTACCACCCCTAAAGGCCTTCCTGGTAAATAGGACCCTCTCCTTACTCCAAGAACACACTCATCATCAGAATTATCATCTCAAGCCTAGCCAGTCAATAGCTCAAGTACAACTAGAATGTTTGGACAATGATATGCAGAAAGTCCTAGTTGCCAATGAAGTCTTGGGAAAGCTCTGTCCATTTAACGTCTCACTCATTCTGTACCAGGAAAAAAAGACAGTGAGTCACTGTCCTTTGCACAGATGCAAAGTCCCTAGTCATTTTCAAGTCAGGGGCCTAAAACCACCCTCCACCTTACATGCATCAGAGCTATTAGTGAAATCACTGAACACCACTGCCTGTATATAAGGAATACCATCAGATTTCAAAAAGATGCATGAGACTACTATATACCAACAGAAAAAGGATCTTCCTTCACCTGCAGAATAAAACACTTTCATTCAAGAACTGAGTCTAAAGGCCACTTAACTTCCTACTAAGAGACTTAAGTTCAACAAGTTGCCAAGACAAGAAAACTGAATTATATCACCGATGAACTGAGCGTGTGGCTGTATTCCCACATTCTTTCACTCCAACAGAAAAACTGAAACTTCACCCAGCATTTCAGGTAAAAGAGAAAGCAATTCATCTGTAGCACTTACCAGCAGCTTGTCCAGTCTTCGCCAGGAGAGAGCCCAGTTCCAGGATGCTCTGCTCTTTGACCTGCACTGCCTCCTCATCATTCTCCTGAATGTCACGTTTCACTGGGAGAGGAAAATGCAAACCTCTTAAAGATATGACAAATAATGAAGACTGATGGAAATTTCACCCTCACAAGACCCATTACCAGCTCAAACACAGTTACCAAAAGACAAATTATAAAGTGCCTAGAAAAAACAATCTCTAAACAAGAAAGCATAAAATGATCCTGTATAAGTAGGGCATGTCCCATGTAATTCATGAAAATATATTCCTCCTCTGACTCATTGGTGCCTTTTCATTTTAGCAATTACAATTTCCTTTACCCATAAATAATGAAATGTCTGTTGCAGTCACTTGGTTAAAGCAAAATTAAAAGAAGTCCTTCATACTTACAGTGCGGAGCTCCATGCCAGGCACTATGTTATATGAAAATATTGAAAATGCAAAATGCCTGTGGACTTACCTGTCTAAATTAAATTTAAATGACCAAGTTTTGATTTAAAGTCAAAAGCCTTTAAATAAACTTTAAGTCTGTGTAAAGTCTCAGCTGATAAGTGTGTTAGGGATAAGCAGTTCTACAAAGCCATTCAGGAAAATCAATCCTATCAAAGCTTCAGTGTGATCCTAACAGTTATACTTAGGAGAGACTGCTGCTTTACAATGGATTCAGATCCTGTTAAAATAACTTTGTGCCATCTATCCCACTTTCTACTGTTAATAACTATTCTACCACTCCAACATCAAATGGTATCTCCAAGTTTGCAGTGATAATTTTAATTACAACCACCACTAGTTATCATTTCTCTTACAAACCATCATGACTTGACAAAAACCAAGATTTTGATACTCCATGATGGACTCCGGAAAAAGTGAGGCTGTCAACCATCATGACTCAAGCTTGCTGTAACAGAAGCTTCCAGGGAACTCTCCTAATATGATGGGCAAACAAAAAATTATGCTTACAATTCCCACGTTATAAAAGACATTATATTAGGCACTAGGGCACCAAAAAAAATAAAAGTCATGTTTCTCACATTACTTCTGAATACTAGCGTATACTCACAGAACAAAAACACATGTGACTGAGATGACTCTGGTTCTGTAATTGTAATGGAAGATAAGAACTTCAAAATGAAACCACCTTAACCAATATCATGCAGTCACAGATGCATCTCGACCCCCCACCTCCTCTCCTTCTCCAGTACTGTACTTCCAAAGATAAAGACATCAAGATTTTGTCACTGTCCTTTCTCTGTGCCAAGTCAGGAGTATCAACATTCAACAGACTAATAAAAGTGAACATAAATGCCAACATTCTAGCAACTGCGCCTACACATACATTCTCATACTACTTGTTGATCGAATTCCAATCCTCTCAAACCACATTATTAAAAAGATCACCTTACTACATGTGCAGTGACCAGCTAGTCTATGCTCTAAACTCTAATTGGACTTTTAAAGCCTTCTGTCATCATAAATTTATTTTTATTCACACCTGCATCCCAGTAGAAAGCTGTCAGAAGTAACTAGCTGAGGTTCCCATTTCAGCTTTCCTATTGCGTGCAGGAGCAAGACAACCATCTACTTTGTTATGAAAATTTTAATTTTCTCCAGCGATGCGCGGCCGGCCGGTTCCAAAGAGTTCCCTGAACTCCGCAGCTGACAACTAACTATTAACTCACTTCCAACCTCTACAGTGGAGACTGGGACGATTAGTTCCCTCCTAGCCGAGCAGTCCTCATCACAATACCTCGCTCTTACACCCTACACGGGGGCAGAAGAATGCCTCGGACACCTCCTCAAATCAAATGTCAAGGCCGGGTGCATCTCTCCTCAGTATTTCCCACATTCAAAGAAGAGGCTCCCCTTTGCTGGAGCCTTCTGTCGTGGAGCTGGAGAGAAGTAGCAGATCCAAGCGTCCCATAGAAAGGAAACTCCAAGAGAAAGCGCTAGCGCTCGCACTCCCACCCTGGGCAGACAGTGCTGATAACAACGGCGGGAAATGCCTGTCCTGAGTGGGTTTTGCCAAGGCCTCTCAACTCGGGGCTCTCAGACAGTTCGGGACAGACCCGCCGATTGACACTGCTCCTGGTCCCGGGCCACACCGTGTGGCCCAGACCGGGGACAACGCAGGGGAGAGCTGGGCTCCAGCTCGGCCCACTCTCCCACCCCACGTTGAGCCCACCGTGAGTCAGCAGCCGGTGAGAGGACGCAGAAGTAGCCTCAGGGCTTCTCACCGGACTGGGACCAGAGGGACTCCTGGGAGCCCCGAGCGGCCTGTGCCCCCGGCCCGGCCCCCCTCACACACACAGTGAGTCAGCAGCACCAGAGCCGGCAAGCACGGCCCCGTTCCACCGCTGCCGACCAGCACAGGCCGTGCTGAGCCAGCAGGGTCGGGGAGGGGGCGCGGCGACCTTTACCGATGGAGTGGAGGATGTCGATGGAGGCCTCCCGGTCGGTGCTGAGTAGAGACTGGGCTCTCTGGAACTCCACCACCGCCGCCGCCGCCATCTTACCGCTCTCACACCGTCCCCGGCCGCGGCCGCCGACGCCGGAAACACACACCCGGAAAACCCGCCCCCGTGTCCTCGTTCCCCCCACCCCCCGCACACCGCCCCTCCTCCTTTCCCAGAGCACCATGGGAGTTGTAGTGTCTCAGCCAGAGGAAAGGAGTGAGGGGTGAGGATGAGAGTTGGGGTGCCTCGCTTGGTGGGCAGCAAGCTCCTCAGCACCGCCTAGCGGCCGGTAGGCGCGGAAAAGAGGCTAAAGAAGTCTGAAACCCAATGCCTTTCCTGAATTTCCCTAGCTTGAAAGGAGGATTTTTTGAGTACTTGTCTATGTATTCAATGAAAGTTTTATTGGCAACTTCCACGTTTAAACCATTCATTCCGTGCAGTACCCGACCTTATGAAGTGGTCGCTGTGACAAGTAAGCTGCAAAAGACTTCTTTAAAGTGTTAAAAAGCAAAGATGTCACTTTGAGAACTTAAGTGTGTCAGCCTTAAGCCAATGGTATTTTCAATAGCCTCATATGCACCCAAAAGATGAACAATGAATAAGGAAAACCAAAAAACAATCAATGCCTTTGAATTATGATGCTGGCAAGAAGTATTGAATATACCATGAACTGCCAGAAGAACAAACAAATATGTCTTGAAAGAAATACAACCAGAAGGCTCCTTAGAAGCAACAGTGAGGCTTCGTCTTCACATACTGTGGACACGTTATCTGGAAGGACTAGTGCCTAGAGAAGGACATCATGCTTGGTAAAGCAGAGGGTCAGCTAAAAAGTGGTAGGTCCTCAACAAGATGGTTTGAGACAGCGGCTGCAACAACTGCTCAAAAATAGGAACAAGTATGAGGATGGCACAGTACTGGGCAGTGTTTTGTTCTGTTTAATAGGGTCACTATGAGTCAGAACCAATGAGAGGGCACCTAACAGTGTGTGGCAAATAACACCATTCGAATGCATTCAAGTGTCTAACAACAATTGTCAACACACACACACACACAATACACTTTTTCTAAATTTGAATCCTACAGAATCCTAGCCAACAAGAACCTCTGGTGGCATAGTGCCTAAGGTATTTGACTGCTAACCAGAAGGCTGGAGGTTCAAACCCACCAGCCACTCCTGGAGAGGAAGATTGGGCAATCTACTTTCATAAAGATACTGCCTCGGAAACCCAAGAAGGGATTGCTATGAGTCAAGTTGACTTGATGGCAGTGAGTTTTTGAGTTTTAGTATCAGAAAACTCTCCTTCCCAAGCAGCTCATTCAATCTTGAAACAGCATTGGATGTGAGGATGTGAAATATCATATTTCACCCATTCACTGGGTAAATATATCTTGAAGATCACACCGAAGTCTGATAGACACCTCAACTCCCAAACTCAAAAAAGAAAAAACAGATTTTTCTTCCCAATATCTCCAGTTCCTTCAATTGAAATCACAGACAGCTGAAAGACTGTCAAGTAGGAGGAGAAAAAACATTCTATGTGACCACTGAGGGTTAAGAACTAAAGGAAGAACTAAAAAATATACAGAGGAAGTACAGTATGAGAAGACCTTTCTGCAGGTGACAACAATCCAAACATGGAATATCCTGTTACATAAAGGAGACTGTATATAACAACAAAGGGAGCCAACATTGCACTCTGTGACTGGGTTGGGAGTTCTGGTGGCACAGTAGTTAGGGCATTCAGCTGCTAACCAAAAGGTCAGTGGTCTGAAACCACCAGCCGCTCCACACAAGAAAGTGAGGCAGTTTCCTTCTGTATAGATTTACAGCCGTGGAAACCCTATAAGGCAGTTCTGTTTTCTCCTGTAAGGTCACTATGAGTCGGAATTGACTCAATGACAGTAATTTGCTTTGTTTTGGTTTTGGTGCCTGGCTATCCACTGCCTTGAGTCAATTCTGACTCATAGTGACCCTACAGGACAGAGTAGAATCGCCTCCATAGAAGCTCTGGTAGCATAGTGCCTAGGGCACCTGACTGCTAAACCAGAAGGCAGGCGGTTCAAATTCACCAGCCAGTCCTCGGAAGGAAGGTTGGGCAATCTACTTCCGTAGTGATACTGCCTCGGAAACCCAAGGAGGGGTCGCTATGAGTAGAGTCCAACTTCACATCACATAACAACAACAACAACAACCAGAAGACTAACAAGTCCTTTGAATTCCTGTGCTAGGTTTTTATTCCTTAAAAATGCCTTTCAACAAACATGGTTATACAGGTGGATAGATAGGTAGGTGGACAGGCTGAACTATTAGGGATGTCTATGTAGCGGGGAGTATACCCAAGACCATGTATAGGTTTGGCAGACAATGGTCCTATAAGTGTATTTGTATGATCTGTAACAATCCCCAGGTGTATAGTAGAGCTTCCGCTCTGGTAGCGTAGTGCCTAAGGCACTTGACTGCTAACCAGAAGGCTGGCAGTTCAAACCCACCAGCCACTCCTCGGAAGGAAGATGGGGCAATCTACTTCCATAGTGATACTGCCTGTGAAACCCAAGGTGGGGTCGCTATGAGTCGGGTCCGACTTGATGGCACATAACAACAACAATAACAACATAGTACAGCTGACAAGGAACAAGGTTGTAGTCACTTCTTGGTCACAGCCAGCTACCCAGAGGGACCGAGTATTTGAACCAGTGGGCTCAGGACCATAGTCACAGGGAACATCAAGCTCAATTGGCATAACCTACCACACAAAACATTGTTCCACCTCCTACTTTGGCAAGTAGTGACTAGGATCTTAAAAGCTTGCAAGCAGCCATCTAGATGTAACGATAGGTCTCTCCTCATCCAGAGCAAAGAAGAATGAAGAAAACCAAAGATTCATGAAAATAATTAGTCCTGGCAACTGGTACACCATGCGATCTGCAGCCTATATGACTATGAGACCAGAAGAACTAGATGGTGCCTGTCTACCACTGTCAACCCTTCAGAGGGGGATCTATATAGGAGATCCTGCATAGAGAGAGAGAACAATGTGGAACAAAATTCAAAATCATTTAGGAAAAAAAAAAGGCGGGGGAACCAGGTTTGCTGGTCTGATATCGAGCCTAGTGGAACCACTGAGACTATGGCCTCTAGCTGCCCTTCAGGTCCGGAACTGAACCCGCATCTGTGGCTTCCAGCCAAACAAAAGACAGGCATATGAGCTGAGCATTTACCTGAGGTAGATACACTCCTTGGAGAGAACACTCATGGGAGAAGGAAGGGTGTTTATGCCCAGGGAGACAGCTCAGGGAGCAGGGGTGTATGGAGGGATGGACACAGGGAAGAGGTAACTATCGGGAGGAAGTGGGAGGGGAGCTATTGCATTGGGGTAAATTGTAGTCAATGTCATGAGACAAAGTGTATGTGAACTGCTGTATGGAAAGTGAATTTGCTCTGTAAACTTTCACCCAAATTGCAATAAAAGGAAAAAAAATGCCTTTCAAACCTGGAATGTAACTCACTCCTGTGGCTTCCAGTCAAACAGAGCGGCAACCAGAGTGAACATTTACACCAGGTAGATACACTCCTTAGAAAGATCAATCATGGGGGAGAACAGAAAGGCAGTATTTGCACAGGGAGGTAGATCAGGGGGCAGGCAAGCATAGGAAAGAACACATGGAAGAGGTAACTACAGGGAGGAAGTGAAGAGAGAGCTGTGACGCTGTGGGGATTGCAGTCAATGTCACGAAACAAAATGTTATAAACTGCTGTGTGGAAAATGAATTTGTTCTGTAAACTTTCACCCAAATCACAATAAAATTAAAAAAAAAATGCCTTTCAAGTTACTTCTGGCAAAAAGGCACTATATGCTATGAAAGAAAGAGCACAGAATTTGAAGTCAGACAATTAGGGAGCTCAAATCTTCATGCTGTTACCAGCTAATAGTCAAATTAAACTCCCTGAAACTAAGTTTTGTAATCAATAAAATTATTTTTAAAATCTACATCACAGAATTACTTGAAGAATAAAATTTTAAAAACACTAGAACATTTCATCACTGTGACTGACACATATAATTGCTCAATTAATGGTATCTATTATGATTATGAAGGTCCCTAAGTGGCACAAATGGTTTGCTCTGGATTGCTAACCTTAAGGCTGGCAGTTTGAAGTCACCTAATAGTACCATGGAAGAAATGGCCTAGTCAACTGCTTTCATTAAGAGTACAGCCAAAAAGAAAAAAACAAAAAAACAACCCCCAAAACCCTGTGGAACAGTTCTAATCTTAGCACATTGGGTCGCTATGAGTTGAAATAAACTGGATGACAATAACAACAACAGTAAATTATCATTGTTGTTGTTGTTGTTTGCTGTCGAGTCGGACCCGACTCATAACGACCCCTCCTTGGGTTTCCGAGGCAGTATCACTACAGAAGTAGATTGCCCAACCTTCCTTCCGAGGAGTGGCTGGTGGGTTTGAACCACCAGCCTTCTGGTTAGCAGTCAAATGCCTTAGGCACTATGCTACCAGAGCTCCCAAATTATTATTAGATTGTTGATTAACTTAGCTGATTAGCACCCACTATTCCCCTTCTTCAGAAGTCCGTGTGTGGTGAAAATGATTTGTGCTCAATCACTAGCCAAAAGGTTGGCACCTTGAACCCACCCAGAGTGCCTTGGAAGACAAGCTGGCAATCTGCTTCTGAAAGGTCACAGCCTTAAAAACACTGTGCAATGGTTCTACTCTGCAAACATAGTATTGCCGTGTGTTGGAACCCACCCAGTGCCAACTAACAACCACAACCCTCCTTCCTCACAGTGCTTGCTTGGAGGGTTAAGCTAATCACTAATTGGTGACTGTTCTAGCAATAAGGAACTCTGGCAATGCAATACCTAAGGAATTTGACTGCTAACCAGAAGGTTGACAGTTCAAACCCACCAGATGCTCCACAGAAGGTTTCCTTGGAAACCCAATGGGGGTCACTATGAGTTGGAATTGACTCAATGGCAGTGAGTTGGGTTTTGTTTGTTTGTTTGTTTTGTTGGTTTTTATAGCAATAGAGTGGCAAAGAATTGTCAGTTCTATTCCCCATCTTTAGACTTCCTCATCCTTAGTCTCA